AAAGCTCTCTTGGGTCCTTACTCATCTCCATTGTTCATGTCAAGCACTGAAATGCGGATCCAATCAATAAATTACCAAAATAACACATTCAAGGTGCACTACGGTTGAGTTCGAAAGTAAACATGTATTTGATACTCAGGCATAGGATAAACTTCTATGGTGTACTCATGTTTTCAAAGTTCAAAATGAGGATCAAGCAATCACAAATCCCATAACAATTAGGATAGGGGAATATAGTTCAATATTAGATATTTTCCACAAAAAATGTCCAAAATTTTCAAAATTTTCACATTTCCAACTATTCTATAGAAAAAGTGGTGGAACATGTAAATAGTGCACCTCACCCCCTAACTTGAACCATGCATAAGGAATCATGCAATTAGAAATATGAAAGTAACATGGGAAATAAGATACTCCCTTTTTTTTCATTTTTCTTTTTTATATACACATGAAAGGGAATATGAAACACAAAAAAAACATGTTTACACCCCCAACTTAAACTCGTGTGTGGTACTGAAAAAGATTTGTTACAATGATGCTTAACATGAATTGAGTCCAAATTAGGGAGTGGTAACCAACTTCATGCTAAAATCTTCACTACAACATCATGAAAAATAAAACAATAACAATAAAAGAAATCTAACTACTATTTACATGAAATCAAAACAAAAAGGACCCCTGTCAATCTGGCTTGAATTCGGATATAAGCTTGCGCCCATTGATTTTTTTGATTTAAATTTTTTTTGGTGTATAAATGCCTTTCCTAACCAATCTATCCAACAATGTAAAAGATAATTATTCAAAATTCTCAGCAAAACAAAGGAGCACAAAAGTTTGTTAGCACACACGTGCACTGTCTTTGTTGATTTGATTGTACGAATATCTTTCAAGAATAGTTGTACAATTGGGTTTGTGGGATTGTTGGGAACGTTGTGAGATTGACTTGGGTGAATTAATTGCGTATTAATTAAAAATCAATCGTCATGGTTCAAAGGGTTTGTGGTGACTAAAAGGGTTCTCACATTTATTCCTTCATGTTTGTGAGCAAAAGTAATTATGGTAGACGTAGGTTTTAATTTGTAATCAATTTGGGCTAAAATTAAAAAACCTATTTACCCCACTCTAGGTATAGTGTCTTGGTCCGGTGCATAATTGTGAGGGAACTTCCACTGCAAGTTCCCTTTCCTGGAGCAACAATTGGTATTACAACGTGGTTGTCCTGAGATCAGAAGACACAAATTAGGAATATCTTATTTTTGTTGAATTTCCAAGTTTTCCTTTGAGAAATCTATCATTACTACCAATTAGTTTTGAATGAATTCTCAAAAGAAAGATGGTTCAATTGGATGACCACCACTCTTCGATGGACCAAACTTTGCATAGTGGAAAGCTCATACGAGAGCATTTATTAATTCCATTGATAAGAGAATGTGTTTGAGCGTCTAAAGGGTTTAGAGGTCTCCCACCACCAAGTGGTTGAAGAGAAATCCTCCAAGGCATTGACTAAAAAAGAGGAACAAACCGTACGGTAGAACTCAAAAGGCTTGAATGCGATGTTCTGAAGGATCGCTAATTATGAAACTTCAAAGGAAGCATTGGACATCTTAATTGTTTTCCACGAAGGGACTTCCATGGTCAAGATGTGTAGAATCCTAAACCATTGGTGTGTGCATACAGAGGATTGCTGTCATGCCCATAATTACTCGAGGACTAGAGGAACCATGTGGCAGGAACGTCCAAGAGAAGCTAAAGTAGACAATGGAGAGGGACTTTCGATGGAGAGACATATCATGGAAAGGAGCATTTAACCATGGTATTGACTAAGCTAAAAGTCTCGAGTACTTGTATGTCTACTTGGGGCGTAACGGATTAGGCTGATGTGAACCTAGCGAGGTACCCTACAGTTTTTCCCGAGGGACGCTTTCTGCGTCAACAAATAGCTAGTGTTCTCTATTTTCTATTGAGCACACTTGCATTTGTTAGCATAGACGTGTATTATGTGTTTGTTGATTTTATTGTATGAATGTCTTTTAATCATAGTTATGCAATTGGGTTTGTGGGTTTGTTAGGATCACCATGAGATTGACTTGAATGAATTAATTATATATTAATTAAAATCAATCGTCATGGTTTAAAGGTTTTTTTCTGACTAAAAGAGTTCTCATATTCATTGTTTGTTATTTGTGAGAAGTGTTACTTATGGTAGACATATCTACTGTTGGTTCTTCCTCCTGGAACAATAGTTGGTATCAAAGCGTGGTCGTCGTAAGATTATAAGACACTAAGTAGGTAGATCTTGTTTCTTCTTACTTGTCTAGTTTACCTTTGAGAAATCTATCATTAGTACTAGTTAGTTTTGAGTGGATTCTCAATAGGAAGGTGGTTTAATTGAACAACCACCACTCTTTGATGGATTGAACTTTGCATATTGAAAAGCTCTATAAAGAGCATTTCTTAAACCCATTGATGAGAGAGTGTGGTCGACTCTCCAAGAGGGTTGGAGGCTTCCCATAACTACCATGCATGTTGAAAGTGGTCAAGAGGTGGTTGAAGTAAAATCCTCAAAGGTAATGACTAAAAATAAGAATGAGTATCCGGGGTGGAACTCAAAAGGTTGGAATGCGATATTCAATGTTGTGACTGCTAATTTGTTCCAAAGAATTGCTAATTGTGAAACTTCAAAGGAAGCATGAGGCATCTTGCTTTTTTTCCACAATGGAAATTCCATGGTAAAGATGTCTTGACTCCAAAGGTACACCTCTTAGTTCAAGACTTTGAGGATGCAAAATGACGAAATATTTTGTAAACTTTATGCTAATGTATGGGATATTGTAAATTCATCATTTTCATTAGATACCAAGGTTAACGATGTGGCCATCAAGTAGAAAATCTTGAGATCTCTACCCAAGAGATTTCATGCTAAGACCACCACCTTGGAGACAATTATTGACATTGAGTTGGTGTCGGTGGAAGACATATTAGGGTCTATCTTGACCATTGAGATGAACCTTTGATTAGCACAAAATATTGCATATCCTGTATCTCTTTGCACCCTTTTTATACTTGCTTTTATGATGAAAATGGGAGAAAAAGAATTTAATCTAACATTTAATGGACTTTTGTGTGCTTGTAGGTAATGAGTGGGTAATGGCCTGTGTTAAGCTTCCATCATAGTGCTTAAAGACAATGGAGAAGAAGGGGAGGCTTAGCAGGCAATTCAAAAAGCCAAGAAACCAAGAAAATGGAAAATCAAGTGAAAACCTACCGGTAGGTTTGGTCATTGTTCTATCGGTAGGTTTTGGATACTGAAAATCTTCTACTGCTGGCTCTGCCAAAATCTTCTATTGGTAGGTTTTACACAGAAATGCTAGAAGCCTGTAATTCAGACTCTACTTACTTCGGGGGCCCACCTCTGCTTCTCCCACACATACCCTGACATATTTTACATGCAAGTATACCCTCTTACACCTAACATCTAATTTTGGAAGGAAAAACATGGAAGAAGAGGAGAGAGAAAGAGATAAGTTGGTCAGGGCATGGGAGGGTGCATGCATGCCCTGACCTTACTTGTGCATGTGTCCAATCCTCCCCCAGTCATTCAATCTCTACGCTTATAGACCATAGGAGTCTCGTGGACAAAAATTGAAGGGGATTCTACACCATTATTCAGCTTTTACATAGTTTTAGAGAGAAAAGCTCCAAGGAAGAAGACAATTTTAGAAAGAGAAAGTTTTTTTTTTCCATTTTCCCACCCATTTCACTTGTAGTAAGTTGTACTTCACTTGTAATATTTATTTCTTGCACTTTAATCTCATGTATTTCAAGTGTCATCAAGTTTAGTTTCATGTTCTTGAATTTCTATGTTTACATTTGGGTTTTCTTTCCAAATCTTTTTTGTTGGGTATGAAATGAACTCTCTTTTGTAGGTTAACTTTTTATTGCATCAATACAAGTTCAAGGCTTTACTTCATCTCTAGTACATCTCCATGTTTCTTTAGCAAATGTATGCTTTTGCCTTCAATATGGGTACCTAAGATTTTTGTTGGCTAATCCAAGGGGAACTTCCTATTGGGTATGCTAAATCAACTCTCCCCCATTCTTCCTTGTAGTGTAAAGTGTTTGGTTTGACTAGGTTGAGTGTGGACGTGGTTCTGAGGTCTTGATACACCGTATACTTGTCACGGGGTATGCTTGAGCCTACATCTCACATTAATCCCTCACTTCCTACGAATCAATCAAACACCTAGGTACCATTAGTTGAATGAATTGAGTTTATTTGGCATTCCCATTAGAATGACCTCTTCGGAATAGCCAACCTTGCTTTTCTTCCATTTTATCAAAAACCATCACTCACCAAAACACAAACTCACAAGATTTTACATTTTTCTATTTTTACAAAATCACCTTTACTACAAATTCAACCTTCCTTCCCTGAGAAGACGACATTGGAATACCCATATTAAGTAAAACATGACAATTCCAAGTCTCTCTTCGCTTGGGGTGCACTTTTGCACACATACACATTTTCATTCACACACATGTTTTGCCCTATTTATAGCATCGAACCCGAGGGAGTGTGACACTTCCTTATCTATATAAGCCATATACACATAATCTGGGTTCATGTATGGAGATTAGGGTGAACACAAGTCACACAACCTTTGATCCTTAAAGCAAGCTAAGGGCAAGGCCTTGAGCTCAACTAAGCAAGAAGGAGGTAAAGTTAGGTCATCCTGACTACGACATTAGGAAAAATCTTAGATTATAAAGAAGTTCAAGAAATATTTCAAGACTAGTAATGTTGAGTCTTCAAGGTCAAAGGGAAAGCCTAGTTGACCTACTCCTACGGAAGGAAGAGAAAAAGGGGAAGAGATTCTCAACAAGAAGTTGAGAGAAAGGGGCAAGGTTTCCAATGCTTTTAAAGCCAATGATTTGAACATATTGCATCAAAATGACAAAATAGAAAGAAGAAAGTTTTGCATAATGAAAATAGGAGGGCTATGAAAGCTATATGGAGTGATATTGAAAATGGGTTGACCTCGGGTGATGACTCCACTTCTCAAGATGATGAAGAGAATGTTATGGCTTTTATAAGACAACTCTCCTATTCCCCTAGAGAAACTTCCATTAGAGAAGTTGAAGCAAGTCCTACCACAGAAGTAGATGACTTGGAAGAGAAAATCCCCACTTGGGTGGAGGATGAAGATTGCTACGAGGATATTCAAGATGTATGTGAACAATTGTATGTGCAATTCCTCAAGCAACAAGAGAAGGTGTTCTCCTTCAGCGGTTGTGTCAGTGATGAATAGTTAAAATTAGCAAGTTACTATGCTTGTATAAGACTAATTATGCTTTAATAGAGTCTCGATGATGAATTTTAAGGGGAAACAATTGTACAAGGGCCTAAAGTCAATCTAACATCAAACTTTCATGCAACACCCACGTGTTTTGAAAAAAAATTGGAGAAGATTGAAGCAAGACATCGCGTTTGAATGCCAATCCAAGTTCGAAAGCTATCTTGAAATAATTGAGGGCCCACAGAATAGTGCTAGGGTGACGACATATGGCGTGTTGTAGCTATTCCTAGAGAAGAAGAACAAAGAGCTACTTGAGTACAATGTTTGAATGCCAATCCACATTCGAAAGCTATCTTGAATTATTTGAGGACCCCAGAAGAGTGCTAGGGTGATGACATGGGGCAAGTTATAGCTCTTCACTATGGAAGACAAAAGCCACTTGAGTATTATTTTCAAACTCTAGTTAGTGTTCGAACGCCCATCACAGAAGACAGGAGTCAACGTTCGAACACCATACCACGTTCGAATGTATTCCCTAAATAGTATGCAGAGTGGTTGATTTTCCCTTCGGATCTTAGGGCAGTCACTTAGACTTTGAGCACCTAGAACTATTCTTTTACTCTTCTTTACCCCTCCTTCTTGCCTATAAATACCACCTATTTGGACTTGTATTAGGGGAGAGATATAGATCTTTTGGAAAAGGAAGAAACCCTCCAAAAGTAACTAGCTTTCTTCTACTTTCATTATTAGTTTCATTAGCTTCCATTGTAAAAGCTTCTTTTTTCACTTAGAGGAGTGAAACTCTTCCACCTTTCTAACTCTGTTATAGTCTTGAAGGGTGGAAAGTGATTCACTATTCTTCGTTGAAGATAGGCACATTATGGAGTTTATTTTACCTTGTAACGCATCTACTTGGAGGGATGAGAATCACTCACTTTTCTAGCTTTCTCAAAGCCATGAAGAGTGAGTAGTTTTTCATTCACTCTTTAGTATGAGGTGATGGACATGTATAAATCATTTGGAAGTTATATTTTTTTAATCATTTGATTGCTTATTAAATGATTGAATGCATCTAGCAAATCTAAGGTACTTTGTACAACTATGAGTTCTTTTAAGACAAGATAACTCTTGGCATAGGAGGATTCATTGGTTCTTTGCAAGTACCCTAGATAGATCTTCATCACTACATTTTAATCTTCACCATTATTGTACTTCAACTAAGAATGGAATACTAACATAGTGGTTGGATGACTTGTAGAATTACTTGCATGTTTGTAGACGGGTTGAGTCCCAACACGAACAATTCTTGTAAATCTCTACAAATGACATCAGAACCATTCTCTTAATTCTCATAGTCCATCTTTATCCTCCAATTAACTTGTTATTGACATAGGGGTTAATTGAGTTATCAAGCACAAATATCACAATCGGATGATTGACTACATGTTCAGATCCTCGAGCTAAAGTGTGACTTTTACATTTGAGAGAATATTATATTTTTTCTAGAAAAACCCTTCAGATAGAGTCTTATATTTTGTCCAAGAAATTCCATAAACATCATAACTTTAAATCTCAAGGGTTTCAGTCACTTTGGTCTCTCTCACTATTTAGTCTGAAACACCAACATTAGTTCCCTATGAATTAGACTCCGGACTTAACCGGATTATAACTACAACTTGACCTCTTGCACTTGGGTGTACACTTTTAGGATCAAGTCAAATTTTTTGCGCCATTGTTGGTGTACCAATCTGGTGCTTAATTGGGAGACATTTCATTTCATGGTAAAATAAGGCATTGTCTTGGATCACATTGTTTCGTTTGAAGGCATAAAAGTTGACAAGACAAAGATAATTTTGTTTGGAAATTTACCTACACCAAGGATGGTAAGACATCCGATCATTTCTTGGACATGCAGGGTTTTATAGGAGATTTATGAAAGACTTTAGTACCATACCAAAACCCAAGTATCATCTCTTAAGTCAGGATGTAACTTTTGTATGGAGTGAAGCATGCCAGAAAACTTTTGATAAGCTTAAAGGTATGTTAATTTTTGCCCCAATAATGCAACCCCCTGATTGGACTCTACCCTTTGAATTGATGTGTGATGCAAGTGATTATGATGTGGGAGCTGTGTTGAGACAAAGAACATATAAGAAACCCTATGTGATTTAATATGCAAGCAAAACTTTGAATGATGCTCAAATAAATTATTTCACAACTGAAAAAGAATTGCTTGTTGTGATTTTTACTCTAGAGAAATTTCATTCTTACTTTGTTGATTCATTTGTTATTGTGTTCACTAATCCTGTAGCATAGAAATTCTTACTCACAAAGAAAGCTGCAAGGATCCATATGTGTTTAAGTACTATAAAGATCAAATCATAGGACGTGGTATCCCCAGTCCTAAGAGCAGATAGGTAACATCTTTTTGTAATTCTGAAGCATGTGGTGGCCATTTTTAATTTAAAAAAACCACTGCGAAAATCTTACAGTGTGAATTTTATTGGCCCACACATTTTAAAGATGTCCATGCCTTTTGTCTAACATGTGATAGATGCCAAATGTTGGGAAGCATTTCTAAATGAAACATGATGCCCTAGAACCTCATACTAGTAATTGAAATTTTTTATTGTCGGGGCATCGATTTTATGAGACCATTCCCCCCTTCCTTTGGCTATCTATATATTTTAGTGGCTGTTGATTATGTGTCCAAAAGGGTTAAAACAATTCCATGTTGAAATAATGATCACCAAACAGTGATGACATTTTTAAAAGAAAACATTTTGTCCAGGTTTAGAATTCCTAAGTCCATTATAAGTGATGGGGTGCTCATTTTTGCAATCGTCCTTTTCGAACTTTGATGAAAAAGTGATTGATTTCTCATAAAATTGCAACCCCTTATCATCCACAGACTAGTGGACAGACTAATTTAGCTAATCGAGAGATCAAACTGATTTTGGAAAAAAGGGTAAATCCAGACCGCAAAAATTGGCCTTTAAGACTAACTAATGCACTCTTGGCATATCACACTGTTTTTAAAATAATTTTGGGCATGTCTCCTTATCGATTAGTTTATGGCAAGCTTTGTCACCTATCTATGTAATTGGAACACAAAGCATACTAGGCCATTAAAACCATGAACTTTAACCTAGACAAGGCTGGAATCTCAAGAAAACATCATATCAATGAGTTGGAAGAGTTGAGAAATGAGGCATATGACAATGCAAAAATTGCAAAGGAAATGATGAAGGTTTTCAGGACAAAAACATAGTGAGAAAATCATTTGCCCCTTCACAAAAAATCTTTTTATTCAATTCAAGGCTCTGCCTGTTTCTTACTAAGTTGAAATCAATGACAACTAGGCTATACATTCTCAAACAAGTGTATGGACATGGAGTAGTGGAAATGGAGAATCAATCAAGTGGTAATATTTTTACTGTCAATGGTCAACATTTTAAACAATTTTTTGAAGACTTTGTTAAAGATGTGGAAACCATTTTTTAAATAGATCCAGAATATTTTGCAGAGATTCGCGTCTGCCAACACAAAAATGGGTCAGGTCAACAAAAATTCAACCCAACCCAACCCAAACAAAAGCCTTTATAAGGCCTCCAAACACAAAATCCCCTTTTCCCCATTCATCGCTATTCTTCTTCTTCTTTGCCCCTTTTCTCTTCAAACAATCCACTCTCTACAACTCCATGGCCACACACTACATAGACACAATCCTTTGTTTCATATTTTGCATTTTAATTATGTATTTGATCATGGGTGTCGTTCTTCTATTTACACTTATACACAAGGGTTTCCATCCAAATCGAAACCCTGATTTTTGAAAAGATGATTAAATTATGTATTTTTTTTGTAGGCGTCAGAAAATGAACAGATCTCTACTTTGCAACCCTAACTACACCTTGCGTATAGTGGTAAATTCGAAACATTCAGGACAATGTTAAGTTTAGGTTAGGGGTGAGAACTACAGTTCATATTTTGTGCTTTAAATTTTCTTTTATCATATTGCATATTCTATATTGTATTTCATATTTATTTAGTCTTTATAGTATATTAAAAAAATTGTGATCATGTCTTTAAGACAACTTTAATCTTCTATGTGACTGGCAAATGCTAAAGAACCAGATAGTCATGGATAGTAAGATTTGTTGGTTTAGTTTAGCATTTTACGCACTTTTCCATCTAATGTGCATTATGTGATAATAAGAAAAACAAGATTGGTGAGAAAAACTAAAATCCGAGAAGGGCAAGCGAAGCCACTATATGGCATAAGCACTTTTTCTAAATGTGGCGGGGTGCATTCGATCGATTAGACTGGATAGTGAATGAACAGAGGAAGGATTATCCTGAGATGCTATGCTATTTCAGTCCTATACTTGCACTTTTTGTGCGACAAGAAATTAGAAGAGTCACTGATTGTTCGAATGACATGGAGCCAGGGCAAAACTCAGATTAGAATGCTTCTTGACAAAGTTATGGAAAACTATGTTTTTTATGAAGTTTAATGGTCTTTTGTAAAAAGTGTAAATATCTTTTTGTTAAATGTACAAACTCTTTTTGTTGAAATAAAGATACGGGTCGAGTAAGGAATGTCCTAAAATAACAACAAAGTTGTAGCATGAGTAGGGACTTATCTTGGGATCCCATGATTTTCCAAATTTCAAAATATGCATAAAATCTTCTTTTAATAGGTGTATATAAATGTGTATAAATTCTGATTTTTGATTTGGAGTTCAAACGGTAGTTCACGTTCGAAGGTCATGAGCTCACAACACTTTGTCCTCTACAGAACTTCAAATGTACTAAGAGCACCACACATTCGAATGCTTGATGAACGTTTGAACTAGGACCCCACATTCGAGCGCCATCCTCACATTTGAACAAAAGGAGCTTACAGTACTTTGATCTCTGCAGGACATCAAAAGTATTGGGAGTAACTGTCATTCAAACGACAGTTTAACGTT